TTATATCTAGGGACATCAGGGCCCTCCAGAAATCTTTGAATAGACCAAGGGGATCTTCCTATTTGCCTGGAGATGGCTCTTGTACTGAGCCCACCTTCATGTTGAGCCTTCTCATCAGAGGAAAGCAGATGACTACGAGCCATGTTGACAGCCAGGTTTAGAAATGCATTTACTACACATGCTCACCTTTATAAGTATCTTTGAACACGAAATTTCCTCTCTTCCATGAATAAATGTTCACTTTCTCAGGGTGACCTTATAATTATGAAACGGTGCAAATACCGATAAACCGATCTGGGAAGGTTCAGAAAAATGCAGCTGCGGCTAAAAAATGGAAACCTAGGTTATTCGTGCTGGGGAATCCGTTCATGAGGCTAGAAAAAATCCTTAATGATTGCTTTTTCTGAAAGTGCAAAATTTGAGGGTGACCTTATAATTATGAAACGCACTGTATAATAGTTCGGCTTTGACGGAAACCCCCGCCAATGAAGCACATTTGTCACAGTTTCTGACAAGTTGCTCGATGTCAGCGTCCAGTGCTGGCCAGTAGACGTAGCTTCGTGCTATCATCTTCATCCTTGTCTGCCATGAGCCTTGTATAGTCTCGCAAGTACAGGGCGTTGTAGTGATCTTGGTATTACTATGCGAGATGCGGTAAGTAGGCAACCGTCGACAATTGTCACGGTATGTCGGTGGCTGTATAATAGTAGTGCCAGAAAGGAGTATAGCAATTAATCGTTCGCCAATTTCCAGACTTGGTATACTCGACGATCTTCTTGAAGACGTCCACTTCCCTAAAATCTTTTGCGTTGACATACTCGATCGCGAAGTTGTAGTTGAGTAACATTATGGCTCATCACTGAAGACGGTTGCCATTATAGACAGGTATTCCTTTCTTCTTTCCAAGATTTGCAACGAGTACTTTGTGATCGGTCTTCACGGTGAAGTGTCGTTCGTGGACAAAGCGATAAAATTTCTGTTCAGCGAATATGAGAGTAGGAGCTTCCTTCTCGATCTGGCTGTACACTTTCTGCGCTGGAGTAAGGCAACAGCTAGCGCGGTAGACGACCTTTTCTGATATGTCGGGGAAGAGGTGCGAGAGTGTTGGTCCAAGTCCATAATTAGAAACGCCGGCGGCCATAGTTATCGGATTGCATTGAGTCAGCAGCAGATTCGAGCTGTTTCCTTACGTTGTCGAAGGAAGATTGGCACCCTGGAGTCCATGTGTAGAAAGCGTCCTTCGTCGTAAGGGTGTCCACAGAGCGCGTAGGTTGAGCAGACCTCTGACGAAGTTTCCGTAGAAATTGACGAGTCCGAAGAAAGCACGCCACTGTCTGTCGTCTTTTGGAGCTGGCATCTTTTGTATGGATTTGGCCTTGTCGGGGTCAGGGCGTCGCCCTTGCGCGCTAATGACGAAGCTAGTGGTACTGCTCTTCTCTAGATGAACACGGAATCCGTATTCCTGGATTCTTTTAACGGAGCGTTTAGTCGGGTACTGTGTTTGTCGTTGCTCCTGCCAGTGACTAGTATGACGTCGAAGTAGAAGGCATGTCCATCTAGTCTGGCAATGAGAGCGTCAATACATTGTTAAAAGATGCCAGGAGCATGCTTCACTCCAAATGGTAGACGATTGAAACGAAAGAGTCCTTGATGCGTATTGATCGTCAGCAGCTATTTCGTATCGTCGTCCACTTCCAAATGCAGGTATGCTTCGGCAAGATAGAGCTGTGATAAGTAGCGTGCTCCGTTGAGCTTCGTGAAAATGTCATCTGGAGTTGGAAGTGGGTGCTGCTGCTGTTCAAGTGCGTCGTTCAGTCCTGTCGAGTCCTAGTCTGCGCAGAGTCGTAATGAACCATTTCCCTTCTGAACGGTGACGATAGGAGCGTCCCATTCTGAGTGGCCGACGGGCGTCAGAACCTGTGTAGATACGAGGCGATCGATTTTAGTCGAAATCTTCCGCACTTGTTCAGGCTTCAGAGTGAGCTTGGCCTTTGACTTGGGGCAATGTCCTAATCCAGGCGTGAAAAACGGTAGAGAACATCTTCTTCAAGTGCGCAGTGAGAGAGAAGTGAGTGTCTAGCATACATTACAGATAGAGCCCTCGGTTAGGCGACGAAATAGAGGCTGTGCTGGATGATCCTGCCGAGAACGAGTAATGACGGTATGTCGACAGCGTAGCACGTATCCCGTCCGTGACGACCATTAATGACGAAATTGCACTCGCAGCATCCTCGAACATTGATCGGCTTGTCATTGGCAGACCTTAGAGTGCTTCGAGGAAGTCGTAATATCGGACGACCCATGACGATCCAGTCCGCAGTGCTCAGTAATATAACATTGGCACCAGTGCCAAGCCGCATGCGTATTGTCTTTCCATTGATCTGCACTGGAAGGTAGATGCGGGACGTGGAAGCACCGTCGGCATGCGTTGAGGCGACGACGACGTTGTTGGCTGTTTTCCGCTTCCGTCTAGGTTTCTACTTCCTCTTCATCGGAAATTTTGCAGAATCCTCGCTTGTGTCCGGAATTCCCGTGGTCATGGCAGGTCTTGTTACGAAACGAACAAATCCTTGATCAGTGTTTGCTCCACAGTGGAAACATGGAAATGGTGAGTCGTGTTCTCAGCTCTGAGAGTCTACGACATTGATGTGTGGTGGAGCAGACCACTTCGAGAGGAGATTGGGCATTCTGACGAATGTTGTGACATTGCTCGATCTCCGCAGATAATTCCTTTAACGTTATTTGGGCATTGTCTCCCATCTTGCGAAGGGCACGAGAACGAATATTGACATCTTCAGAAGCATATGAGGCATTAAATCCGCTCTGGGTTAATGTCGTTAAATTTGTCCATCGCATGTGATGGTTGACCAGTCCAGTGTAGTTGCGAAGGTTCTCGCCATTGCGTTGAGTATTAGTAGTAGTATATACGTAGCGGCGAGAGAAAACCGACGCGTTGCTTCCAAAAAGTTTCTTCAGCCTTGCTACAGTAACTGTCAGCGGTACCTCAGGCTCTTTTCGGAAGAATGTGGCTTGTGAAGCGAGCGTATATGATGGCGTCGAGCTTCTGCAGCTTTATCTATTACAGCGCCGTCTCTGGATATGACGTCTTCATCGCGATTGCACCAGATTTCGAAGGTGTAACTAGTATCGGGATCGTACACGAATTCGGGTAAGTGCGTTGACAGCGAGTTCATCGCGAACTCGGCTACGTTGATTGGAGACGCTGGAGCGGTCAAATGTGAGCCATACACCATTCCTTTCATGCGACTGACGAGTTTAGCGAACATTCTCTGCTGTTCGGTGAACATTTGCATCTGCATCTCCTGCTGCATCCTGGCCTGGGCATCCAAGATGGACTGCAAGCTTTTTGCGTCCATTTTCCGGTGTGGCTATCCTCCTTTTTGACGTACTTGGCCCTCTTCGGCTTGTTTCCCTGCTCCACTGGTCATCCTCCTTGTCCGCGTTGAACTCCACTGATCGCCAGTTGTTGTAGAGGTCCTTGTAACCAGCCAGCAACACCATGAGATAAAAGATTTATTGTAGAACAGAAATTGACGACATAAAAACTTCTGAGTACTGGTCTGACAGAGCTACGTATAATGCGCAGTTTTGCAAAGTCTACGATAACATGTTTTATCGACATAGATCAATAATATCCTACAAAATCTTCCTTGCTCAGCGTGGAAGGAGCATCAGATTCCATTCCATTTCTCACAAACACCGTCTTCGTTCTGTTGTTAGCCTATCCTTCTACGAGCGCTGTCTAATTCGGTCAGTATTCGTACCGCCTGTTCCATGCTCGGGGTATAAGCACGTTATTGTCTGGAAAGCGGATGTAATGTGAATAGCCGCCGTCGACCTCTACTCTCAAGTCTTCCCATTCCTAAGACTATGATTTTTCTCGAGAAAGAATGACACTAAAAAGTTTGGGCGGGGTAGTATCGCCGTGCTGCACCCCTCTCTTCACATTGATGATTTCTTTATACAGTGGTGAAATTCTGGTAGTGAAGTTTTCCTAGAGCTCACAGAGGGTATTCTGTATTCTCGCGATACTTCAGTGAGTCTTGTTAGCGTACTAAACCCCCTCCGAAACCCTGCTTGCTCGCATGGTTCACCCTCATCTAATTCTGCCGATCCTATTGAGGATGACGCGTTTGGATAGTTTGTAGATTACAGACAGCAGGCAGATTGGCTGATAATTGCCAATATCTTCTGGATCTCCCATCTTATACAGCAACACAGTCCTGCTAATTTTCCATGAAAAACGGGCTCTTTGCATTTCGACAGGAACCGAGTGAAGAGTCGAATCAGGGCTTGGCAATATATGGCAGAAGGCTCTTCAGACTTTCCGGTTCAATCCTATCAGGACCTTCATCGACGTGTTGGTATGTCGAATTTTGGAAGGAAGAACTGAAGGGACGACATATCCGTCTTGCCTAAGATGGTAGATAGGCAGGTAGAAGTGGCTGTCGCAAAGATCAGAGCAGAAAACGTAGATAATCCTCTCCATTTCCCTTCCAGATGCAGTAAGTGTTCCGTCACGACGAAGAGAAGTCATCCTAGTCCGGCAGGCTTTGCGAACGCTCTTCCTAGCCTCGGCGGTTTCGGCCTGAACTGTTGCTCTTCTTTCAGATCTTTCTTTATCGCTTATCTGCATAGCTTCGCAGGTTCGCACGTTGATTGCAGCTTGCGCTGTTTCACAGTGGCGAATCAGCTCGAGAGTCTTTGAAGAGGGACTTTGCATCTTTGATACGCTCTGCTTTACTGGCACTATCGTAAAGAAGTTTGACTAGCTGGTTTATTCTTCATCGATGTTGTCGCCCATGGAATCTCCAAACAAAGTCGCAAATGAGGTGGAGTGATTCAACGACATTTAGTGACAAGTGAGAGTTGACAACAGTCTTGTAGTTTCGTTTCCTGAATTCCGCAGATCTCCACGCATTGAAAGTCAGAGTCCAGCGCGGGGGGACGATGGTCGATCTCGTGCGGAACTTCTCATTCACGATGTGAGTCACCTGGTGGACAATTCCATAATGAAATGGATGACACCATCATCAATGGAAATTTTTGCCTGAGTGACGTCGTTGTTGTCGAAACAATGTCACCATGGAATTGCCCACCAGGTGACTCCCATATCCATCATAAATGAGACGGCTTCTAGAGCTGCGAGTCATTACGGATAGTGTGGGCCGAAATGACAAACTCGGACAGCCTTCCACCCTGCTCATTCCATTCCATTCCGTGAGTCACGATGTCTAGCTCTCCAGCCGTTCTCCTGGGGCCAACCTCGGCGTTGGAATCACCTACGATGATCTGAAGAAGCTATGGTTTTTTATGTAGAGCCTCACCAGATCCATATAAAACGCTTCCAGCTTTTCTCCTTCGTAGCTCGATGTCGGACAACGAAGATTGTTATAGCTGAGGTTGAGCCGCATCTTCTTAATCACTAACGTCCAGTGCAAGTTGTCAAGCTTTCGCACGAATTGATGCTCATAGCCAAGTGCGTATTGACCAGGACACCTACGCTGCCGACGCCTCTGCTGATCATTTCCAAGGGGCAGTTCTTCTCCAGTCTCAAACACGACTTGCAGCGGGCGATGCCTTCTCGTCTCCGTCAGTCCGATGGCATCGTACTTGTTTTTCTTAGCTGCAATCTCAGATCTTCGCTAGACGTTTCCAATGCAAGCGTTCGTGCATTGGAAGTACAGATCGCCATCCTAGTCCTTCTCCTTTTAGGCAGACTTTTGAGCTCTGAGGTTTTAGCAGCCTCTCT